CGGCCTTCTTTCAGATCACGGTCACTGCCCCGATTCTGCTGAAAGCCCTCACCAACCTGCCCCACACCGACTTCACCCTGTGTAAATGTATGATCGACCAGGCACATCAAGAAGAGCGGCCCATCCGACAGATCTTGTACCTTGGGGACCTGCTGCCCTGGACGAGAACATGGACCTCTTGGAAGGCATAACTGGCTTTGAAGACTCTGTCCGAAAATTTATCTGCCATGTGGTGGGCATCACGTACCAGCACATCGACCGCTGGCTGTTTGCTGAGATGCTTGGAGATCTGACTGACAACCAGCTTAAGGTATGGATGAGCAAGTATGGCTGGAGCGCCGACGAGTCGGGGCAGATCTTCATCTGCAGCCAGGAAGAGAGCATTAAGCCCAAGAACATCATGGAGAAGATCGACTTTGACAGTGTGTCCAGCATCATGGCCTCCTCCCAGTAACTGTGTGTGCCTTTAATAAAGACTTGTTCACTCCAAAAAAAAAAAAAAAACAATAATAAAACCTAGTTTGGTGACACCCACTTGTGTTGGAGAGGGCAGAGGGTTCCATGTCCTCTAGTCAGCCAGCCTAGCCTATTTGTCCAATTCCAATCCAGTGAAAATCTGTTTTATAAAAACGGTGGATGGATCGCTTCTCGGCCTTTTGGCTAAGATCAAGTGTAGTATCTGTTCTTATCAGTTTAATATCTGATACATCCTCTATCTGAGGACAATATATTAAATGTATTTTTGTAATTAGGAGTTGGAATAGGAGCTTGCTCCGTCCACTCCACGCATCGACCTGGTATTGCAGTATCTCCAGGAACGGTGCACCCCTCGGGGAATAAAGTTGGTTCATTGAAAGAAAAAAAAAAAAAAAAAAAAAACGGTGGATGGTACCTGAAGAACAACACTCAACGTTGTCCTCTGGCTTCCACAGATGCAAGCACATATGCAGAGCCATGGAGCCAAACTGGCTTTAAAAAGGATTTCCATGAACCAGTGAGACAGCTCAGTGGACCATGATTCTTGCAGCCAAGCCTAATGAAATGAGTTCAATACCTGGGAGCTACCCAGGAGAAACCTGAGTCCTACCAGCTGGCCCCCAGACATACAAACAGATGTAAATTGTTAGAGGGAAGAAGGGAGACAGTTAGTGGGTAAAGCACTTGTCATCAAGCATGAGGATCCAAGTCTGATGCACATTCAAACACCAGAGCCCACATGGTAGGAGGACCAATTCCCCCACAAATTGTCCTCTGAGTTCCTTATATGTACACTCACACATATAGACACATGCACACAAATTCAATGAGTGTAATTTTAAAAAATAAAAGGTTTCTTAAACCATCTCTACCTGGACAGATAAGAAAGCACTAAATTTAACAACATTGTATGACAAAATTTTTAACTACTTCCTATTTTCTAAGGAAGTGCCAATTTTCTAAGACTACAATTCTCAGAGGAATGCAACTTTAAAAGCCACAAAATTATATCCATATAACTGTTAAGACATTTAATGCTGACACTCTTAAGAGGCCCAGACTAACTTCTGTCTTATGTTCACCAAGCTCATTTGCAAGTTTGCCCGCCCTCTCTCGACATCTCCCTCATGCCTATTATGACTATGTGATCCCCCTCCCTTAATGTCCACGTTTAAATCTGTACTTATAAACTACAGTTCTGGGGCTAGAGAGATGCTCTGTGGTTAAAAGAACTTGTTGTGCAATCATGAGGCCTGTTGTCCAAATCCAAGCATCCTGTAACTACAGTTTCAAACAGACACCCTCTTATTAGGTAGAAATAATGGAAAAAACTGCCAGTAATTCGGAAAAACATAAACTTACAAATGCAAACCTTTGTCCTTTTTAAATGTAGCTCACAAAAGAGTTAGGACCCTGGGTCATGAATCAGAAGTAGGTAAAAATCCTGGATTCTTTTGTACCATGAGACTCAGCCAAGTAATATCATTTCTGCAAATCTGTTTCTTCACAACTGAGCCTACTGTATATGGTACTTTTGAATATTAAATGAGAAACCACTTAGCAAAGAGTCCTGGAACATAGTCCATACTCAATAATTTACCAATTATTAAATTTTAGAATAAGTGTTAAACAGACAAGTAGTATTTAATATTCTTTTAAGTTTCAGCCACAAAGCTTAGAATCCTATGACTTATAGTTGAGATGAGATACAAAACAAACTACAAAAAGCCATTTTGCTAAGGATAACTACTAAGTGAAAATTGTATTATACAAGAGTAATTGTCATAGGCAGAATCTTAAGTTTAGAAAAATAACTCAATATGCATTAGCTCAAGTATCTATTATTACAAAGCCATGGTCTTATTTATTTCTCTAACCACTAAAGAAAAAACCAATACATTAAAAAAAGTCAAAGGCAGGCATGTAGAATGTTACTAGACTGTTTTAAGCTCTAATTTACGAACCAAAATACACCATGTAGGGAAAACTGTGTGAAAGATGGCAGAAAACCATCACATGAAAGATGATAAAACACCTCTCTTTCCTAAACACTACAAAAATCAGATTTCCATGAGATCTTCAGACTTTCCTGTCAGAAGACAAAAAGTCCCTAGCAAGATCTTCATTGCCACAATCATATTTCCAGTAGAACGAACCTCAAAGCAAAACCGATGAAAACCACTCTGATCGGTGGCTGTTGGGATAATCACTCTTAGCCATCTTCTTCAGACTGGAAAATAAAATACCTGACATACATATTAAGACTAAGCAGCGGCCACCCATTCTCAGTAGCTTATTTTTTATCTTATTCTAGACAGAGAAACTATTTAAAAAGTCAAATTCTGGCAGGCAAAAAACTTTATTCAAAAAATATAAAAACTAATTCAAGTTTATCTCATGCCAACAATAAAAAATACCATCAGTATGCGAAGCAAAATTTTTAAAGGTTTTTTTTTTTTTTTTTTTTAAGGCAGGGGAGAAGGCACACAGAAGTTTGCAATCATGAAGACCTGAGTTCAGATCTTTAGCCATGCAAAATGTGACTAAGGATGGGTGCAGCGGTGCACATTTTTAACTCCAGTGCTTTGGGGTGATAACAGACAGATCCTAGGAGCTAGCCAGTCTAGTCAAAATGGCAAGCAAGCCCCAGGTTCAGTGAGAGATCGTGACTCAGAAGCTAAGAGAGAGCAACTGAAAGACACTGGACATAGACGTGTGGTCTCCATACAAAGTGCAAGAAATTCAGACTACTGTACTTACACGCATTCACTCAATTACTCACTACAGGTAGGTGATACTACAGTTATCATATGTAGATGATTAAAATGAGGCACCTGAAGTCACTAACCTGTCCAGGGTCAATCAGTAATGGTAGAAGGCAGGATCTTGACTGAAGTTGTCAAACATTCAAATCAACTACAACATTCATTCAACAACTTTTACTAAGAGCTTATTAGGTACTAGGCACAGTTCTAAATACTGACGATAAAATTACGAATAAATCTAGTAAGATCTCTAACTTGTAGTTAGGAAGAGCCAACAAGTCTAATGGGAAAAAACTAACAAGTGAAAATGTATATGATAATAAATACAATAGAGAAAAAGAACAAAATCAAAAATAAAACAATTTAAAAAAGCAAACAAAATAGTCAAACAACAGGAAGAGAGAGACTTGCTTCTATTTCAGGGATGTGAAGATCCCCTGAAGTAAAGAGTCAACTGACATCCCCAGAAGAGGTGTGCATCCTGAGGCCAAGCCGTAAAGAGTAATGGATATTGGCAGCTATCAAATCATTTGATGCCTTGAGGGTGGGGATAAGGGACTTAGATTCAATTCTGTATGTAACCCAGAGCTTTTGGAGGATTTTAAGCAAGAAAAGATCAATCCAAGTTCTTTTTCAAAAGATCATTCTGATACTTATGTGAGAACAACCGAAATAAGGACGCCAGCACCAATCCCACAATCCAAGGAGAGCAACTCAAACACTTAAGGCCTAAATCTGTGTGTAGTTTACAAGTAGATGAGATATTAAAAGAATCTGTGACTTGTCTCTAAAGACTTGAATTATCATACTCTCATACTGTGTTCAAAAGGTAAATTTGTAAAACATCCACTAACATCCACATTAATGTTTCAGTTGGCACCATTATTTCTTGTAAAAGAAAAATACACCGTAGGTCTTTTTTTTTTTTTCTCCATTTTTCAATATTCTGTTTAACCTGCCCTGTGATTTATTTTGGTTTCTGTTTGAGGTGGAATCTAGTGAGATTCTACAGCCCCTAACTGGTCTGAACTTCACTATGTAGACAAGATTGACCTCAAATTCTCAAGAGATCCATCTCTGTCTCCCTAGTAGTGCTGGGATTAAAGGTGTGTACCACCAAACCTGGCTTTTCTGATTTACAATCCCTTACATTCTAACAAAGCAAAAAGAATCACACCAACAACCTTCAGTATCTGCTCACTGGGAGACAACAGGTTAGTTTTCTTCTCGTGCTCTATCTCTAGCATAGCAGGCCCTGCTATGGTACACTGTGAAGAGTGTACCAGGAAACACTGAGTACACATCGTCTCGATAAGTGCCTTTCATTTAAGAACTAACTTACCAGTCAGCTACCCAAGCTGGAAAATAAGGTCTTCAAACTTAAGAGTGAAAAACTTGCCCAAGGTCATACAACTGTCAGAGACAAAACTCCAAACCCCTATCTAAATTCTTTGATTTTTTTCCATTTCAGAAGCCATTAAAGACTGTATGTATAACTTCAGTAAAGGCAGTATGTAGTCACTGGAACTCACTAACAGTGACTGGTTGTTGACAGATCTTTTTTTTTTTTTCTTATTTGAATCTTAGTTTTCAAAGGGGTTGAAAAGCAAATTAACTTTGAAAATTATTATTTTTCTACTTGAGACGACATAGAACTCAATCCTAAAAATGATTCCCATTATTTTAAAAAGTGAATAATCTTAGAATAATCTTAAAGGTGACCCCCATATTTTAAAGTGACATACAATCATTATTTACCATAAAAAGGAGTAAAGTTTCATGACAAGATACACGAATTGGTACCGACTGACCTCAAAGGACCTAAAAGACACAAACAAGAAATCACAGCAATTCAAGAAAAATGGCAAATAACTAGCCTAAGCAGGTAACCAAGTGCGTGTTTATAGACTGTCCAGCTGGATGGAGAGCTTAAGGGAAGCTTCCAGCACAGGTACTAATGGGAGGGAGGGAGGGGCATTCTAGCAGCATTTGCCTGGGCAAAGCCCTGCCAATGTGAGAAAGCGGACTCCTAAGTTTTAAAGCCCATGGAGGGCAACGTTTAGGCTGAGCTAATGTACACTCCACAGGAACAAGGCAGGTCTCACTCTACCTAAAGGAGGAACTGGTGTGCTCGGAAGACTAGAGAAGCCAGAGACCAGTCAAGATATTCAAGAGTTGTTACACAGCCCTTAACAGTTACAAATCCTTTTTATGATGTGTTTCTATCTCTGTCTATATGTCATTTCTACTCTACGCATGCATGGCCCGAGAGAAAAAAAAACTGGAGTAAAATTCTAATTAAGGTGTATCACCTGTCATGTTTCTTAAACAATTAAGGAACGCTGTTATAGGAAGGTCGGCGCTTTCCAAACCGGGGACAGGAAAGGAAGAGCCCCCAAACACAGACAAGTGGCCTCTCCATCGACCCCTCGGCTGTTATTTTAACGGCACATCCAAGAGTGTAGGGAGCGCCTGTGGGGACACACTTGGGACAGGTGTCCTGAAAACGAGGAAGACAGATAAATAACAAGGAAAAGGGGAGTGAGAAAAACACTGCATCGGGCATGCCTGCGAGCAAGGGAGCGGGAGAAGCCGGGGTACAGGGACCGAGCGGTGAGTCCAGGCCGGAGGACCGCGACGCCGCGCCCGGGCGCCCGTGCCACGTTCTGCGATCGCTGGGGGAGCGAACACTCGAACGCGCGAGTGAATGAATGGCCGGCGAGGCGCCGGCGCAGCAAAGAGTGAGTTGCGGAGCCAGCGGCGGGACGGGAGAAGCAGGGCCGTGGGCGCCCGGGGTCGCCTGGCGACGGAGCGCGGGAGGCAGCGCCGGGGTGGCCGCGCCACGGCCGAGAGGGAACGGGAGGTCACGCGTTACATAACCCGGCGGCCCGGGGCGCAAGGACCGCGCGACAGGCAGCAGGCCTCGGAGCTGCGCCGCGGGCTCCGGGCCTCCGTCCCCCCCCCCTCCCCCAGCGCCTCAGGCCGCGCAGGCAGCAGCGGCTCGGCGCCCCTCCCCCACCCGCCGGCCCGGGGGTCGCTCACCTTCCGCGCCACCCCAGGCCACCATGCCCGGGCCCAGCCGCTTCTTCGGGCCTCTCGCGGGGGCCGACGCCGCCGCCGCCACACACTGCCCTCGCCGCGGCCGGGACAAACGTCGGGGAAGGCAGCCGGTCGCAGAGCCGCACAGCGCCGCGGCCCACGCTCCCGCAGTCACGGCGCCCGCCTCGCGCCTCCCGCCCCTCCCCCTCCGCCCTGCTAGCCAGCTACAGCGCGCGCCCGGCCGGCTTCCCCCTCCCGTCCCTGCTGCGGCCCGCTGCCCGGGATCCGCTCGCACTCACCGGGCGCGGCGCACGCGCGCTGCTCGCGCCCGGCCCGAGGCGACCCCGGCCCCGCCCTCCTTTCGCGCCGGCGCCCGCAAGGGGCAGCGCCTCGGCGGCACGTGACTGTGTCGCGGGCTGGGCGGGGGAAGGCGGTCCGGGACCTGCCGCACCACCACGCTGCCTCCGCCGCCTCCCGCCGGGGTCGCGGCGCCCTGGCCAGCTGGCCCCGCCCGGCCCCGCCCGGGCTTCCCAGCCGCCGAGGCGCGGGGGCCGGGACTAACCCGGTTTACGGACGCTCGGGGTCTATGGAGGCGCCAAACGCGCCGCTGTACCGCACCGCACCAGCGATTGATTTGCAGCGCCACCTAGCGGCAGCCAGGACGCACGCAGCCTGGCACATGCTCCGTCCCGGAGCGGAGAACCGCGGCCCACGCCGTTGAGCGGGGATGCGCGCCGCACCACGGGGTCGCTTGCTGGCAACCAGCTCTGGCAGAGCCCAGAAACGACCCTACCTCATCTTTCCACGGCCGGTTCGGCATTCCCCCTGCAACCAGTAGCCTTTCCCATAAGCAACATACGGACCAGAAGAAAATCGTTTTTCCGTGTCGTGTTAAAAACACCCACGTACACACAACACGCATTTAACAATTCCATTTTCTAGCAAAAAACAATCGTCTCATAAGGATCATTTGGCCCGCCTCTGCGGTGTCTGTTCAATGACAGACTGTATGGTTATTCTGATAGTCTTTATTGTGGGAATGCTCACACATGAAGCCAACCAACCTTGCCAAGGTTCAACACTTTCCGTTCCTCCACCTTAGACATCTGAAGACTTTGTAAGCACTTAGAAAACAGTCTTGAAACTTGCCTTTGCAAGCCTGAGGTTCGATTCCCAGAAAAGAAAGGAATTATTTAAATAAAATCGATCTCTCTTTTTCAAATCGAGTTCCTAGCTGCAACACCAGCAGGTCGTGTACTAAAATGCCACACGAAAACAACAAAACAATGAGACATAGGAAATTTTTTTGTCTCTACATGGCAGTTATTTCACTAAGGAAAAATGGCAAAACTTGGTTTTTGAAATTGAAAATTAACCTGTGAACGCTGCAAGGAATGGGCCACTGTATTTCAATTTCAGTTTCGTTCCTACTCTTCCATAATCAAAGATGACTTTTTCTGTATTTTCTCAAGCAAAAATAAACTGTCTCAGTTTGCTTTCTATTGCTGTCACAAACATCACCAAAAGCAACTTGGGGAGAAAAGGATTAATTTCTTACAACTCACAGTCCACCATGAAGAGAAATCCGAACAGGAACCTGGAGGTAGGAACTGAAGCAGAGACCGTGGAGGAGCCCTGCTTACTTGACTTGCTCCTTAAGGCGGTCAGGTTCCTCTCTTATATAACTGAGACCCCCCTGGGGGGGGACCGCCCATAGTGGGCTGGGCCCTCCCACATCAATTACCAATCAAGAAGATGTTCCACAGACTTGTCCACAGGTTCCGTCTTCCCAGATGACCCTAGTTTCGAGAAGATGCCAGCACACGCGTCTTGGCAGTGCCTTTGTAGAAAATCCAGCAACACGGTCTAAACTGTTCTTTAGCACCAGTTTGCAATCGCCTAGAAAAGAAAAACATCTTTCTCTAGAAAAAGAAACAGAATCAAGAGACAAGCAGAAATACAATGGAGACAAACTCTAGAGTCCTTGTTATGAACAAGTCTGCCCAGGGTTTGTTCTTATCTATTTCAGAATGTTCTTACTTCACCTTTATCCAGTCATCACGCATTTAATTATTCTTATCAAGACTATTCTTCTCAAAGGTGAGCTGGTCTCTTCTGGACCCCCACACTTGGAAGTTCTTTGGAAATTTGTACTTTTTTCTCTCCTTTCTAAGCTTCATTAAAATAGATTTACAAATAATCACTGTTGGCACCTTAAGAGACCTATAGGCATGCAGGCCAGTGGCCCTTTTAGGGTCGTGGATAAAAGGACATGATTCTGCTGCTCATTCACCTTGATCTTCAGCAGGCAATGCCTTGGGAAATGCACAGCTCGCCTTGAAAGAGCAAGAAACTTTATAAGGTTTGGACTCAAGCCCCTGGGGTGCTCTGCTCACAGTGGCTCATGTTGCCATAGGTTGTGTTGATTATGACAAAACATTCTATCCATTATGCTGAAAGATGAACTAACAAGAGCCCACATGCCCTGAGGATGTTGGAAGCAGAGTTGAGTTGCCGGGACTTAATTCCTTCAAACATACGTACATGTCGCAAACGTGCACACATGTTCGCGTCCAGCCAACACAGTTCACAAAATTCACTGTGATCCGACAATTCCTCATGGTGTGCAATCTGTACCCCACTTACCGTGCACATCTCTCGTGTTAGTGGACAAACACATTGATCTCCTGTCTCCAGAAAGCCCTTAGTGTGGTGCAAGAGGCAGCAGCTGCAGGGTAGGTTCAGGGCTACCACCTGAAGGCCATCTGTGGGCCCCAGGGGGAACCTGTCAGGAAAGCTGCAGTTTGGACTGAGATTGGTTCTGTGAGGGAAACACCACTCTCAGAGGGAGCAGCATGTGCACAGGGAGAGAACGGAGGACAGAGAACATTCTAGGAACCGTGAAGGATGAAGTAGAGTGTGGCATAGGGACGAATCATCCCAAAAAGGAAGCCGGGAAGGCAAAATGGGGGCTGGGATTATGAAGGACCCTGTAAAGGTGATGTGTTTTCCCCGTACTCAGGGCAGGAATCAACAAAAGGGTTAGGGTTAAGCAAGAAAAATGACTTTTGAAAGTCACCTTGGCTGCAGCCCTGAGAGGCAGTCGGGTCCAGGTAAGCCAGGAGGTTGGAACTGGGCAGGACACGGGAGTTTGCAGAGCACTGTAATGTGAGAGGAAAAGACAAGAGAGTTGAGGGCAGAGGCGGTAGAGAGATTAGATTGACCATAATAGAACCTAAACTGAGGAGGAGAAGGGACATGCTTGGCACGGTCAGGTAAGTCTAGTGATAGTTTTGGTGGCTGGTCGGGAAGCTTTCGAAGGATTTTTGAGTTAGGCACTTGCATATGATAATAGAATGGAGGACAAAGTCATTATAAGGAGAAGTTCAAAGATATAAAGGGTCAGAGGGGTCACCTCTGTACTTACTGAAACCACCAGGAACCGGGGTTTGAGAGAAGGCTTAGCAGATCAAGAACTTGCTGTGTACTTATAAGGAACTGAGTTCAGATCCATAGGACCCAAATAAATGCCGGGTAGGAGTAGGGGCCTGACTGGAGTCCCAGCTCTCAGGAAGTAGAGACAGGGCAAGCTGAAGAATCAAATTAGCCACATCTGTGAGCTCCAGGCCTGGAGAGAGTGACTCAGAACCATTTGATGACATTGGAAGAATGAATAGCATCTACTGTGCTCCATTCTAATACAGTAATGACCCTGCAGGCAAGGGTTCCCACACTCCTTCTGTTCCTAGCAATAATGGCACAATAGCTTTTTTTTCATATCACCCATAAGCCAAAAAATCTAACACTGTTATTAAAAACAGATAAAGTCAAAAAACTTAAGTATTTGTGGCTTTACAGCTTGGTTAAGAAGCTTGGGGAAAAGTAATAGACTCAAATTGAAAGCAAAATAAGATTTGAATTTACTAATGCAACATCTGTAGCCTCTGGACAATGTACCACTTCTCAGACTTGGGACCATAATATCACTATTGTTTCTAATTCTATATCAGCAGGAAAACGCCAGGCACACACTTTACACTTAATAACCTATCATAATGAGAGGAACGAGTCCCTCACTTCGAGGAGAATCACCTGGTTGGGTGGTAGCAGCCAGATTTTTCCTTAGTGGAAATATATTTCCCCGTGTATAAGTTGTAAGTTGGCAATGTTTTCATCAGCCGAACGTCCTCTCCAGAATCCTGTCATCTAACAGTTTTTACGTCTGTCGGCAATCTTGTCTGAAACAACTATTTCATTGAGTTAAAAACAGGTTTTTTTTGTTTTGTTTTGTTTTAGGGGGCATTGTTTAAAGATAGGATTTCACTGTGTGGCCCTGGCTGTCCTGGAACTCACTCTGCAGACCACTTTTAGAGAGGTAGAGAAAGGGGGACACTGGTCTCCAAAAGAGGGGAAGGTTTCAAGGAGGAAAGACCCACTGAGGCACGTGCAGCTGTCAAAGTAAGGACTGGAAATAGGTGACAAAGGCTGGCTTGAAACAACAGAAAGCAGGAAACAAAGAGGCAGCCCCAGGTGATTCTAATATTAACACTGCAGGGCAGGCCACATACCCAGGAGTCGTTGGGCAGCGCAAAGTGAACCCAGTGGTATTTCTGGAGACTGTGTGTCACAATTGGATTTCTTTGGGCACTTTTGTCTTATTGGTTATTTTAACTTCCTTGGGGGGGGGGTGTTTCTTGGTTTTATTATTGTGTTTGTTTGAACGAGAGAGAAAGAACATAAAATTGAGTACATAGAGAGATGGAGAAGATCTGGGAGGAACTGACAGGGGGAAAACATGATCAAAGTATATTGTATGAAAAATGTTTTTACATAATAAAAAAAGTCGACACAGGAGAGAAGTAATAGTGTTCCTATCTAGCAACTGGAGAGGGTGACAGGACTAGACATATTCTGTTTTGTGGTTTCTTTGTTAACTAAACATATTATGAAGATGGCTTCGGGACCCAGTCAATAGGGTTTGCTAATGGACCACCTGTAGTGTTTAAGGTGGATAAAGAATTGCAGGCTTGGGGCCCAAACAACCAGAATAATGGGGCTGCCAAGCAGAGATGGGGCAGAGAGAGAACAGACCTCCAGTGGATGTCCTGTTTTTAGTCTCCTTATTCCTGTACTCAGTGAGACTCCGTGTCTGGTTCTCAAGGGAAGGTGGGATGGTTTGCCTGCTCCTCGCCAGAGGCCTTGTGCAGCTTCTCCTATCAGGCAGCCACGTTGTAGATGGTTGATTTTCAGCTCCCACACTTTTGTTTTTGTTTTTGTTTTTCGAGACAGGGTT